CCCGGGACAAAGGTTAAAAAAGTTAGCCTCTACCATGGTGTGATCATTATCAGGTTGTAAGGACATAGAATCATCTATCCATTTAAGACATGCTTTTTGAGGAGGTTTATCAGGCTTGAACTTGACGGTAGCAATGTTGTAGTGTAAATCAAAAGCTGAAACCTCTCCCTCGTACGAACTGCCATCTGATAGATGTACTTCAACCTGCAATTGCAATACAATATTGTGAGAAATTTTCAATTCTACTAAAAAGGCAATGATAATAATAATAAAGTCGGTGCTGTACCGTGATTTGAGAAGGGTCTCTATAAGAGTGAAAGAGAGAAGCAGAAGTCAATATGGTAGCCTCGAATTTACCATCATCTCCTGCTGCACCTTCACATTCTACAATTGTGCCGGTGCACGCAAAACACTTTTCTCCGCTACCTGCCAGAAAGGCAGCAAAGCATAAAGCTTTATGTTACCAGGCAGATCATACATGTTAGGAAGCATAAAGTTAGTATATGATATACCTACCTCTGTGGTATGCAACAAGGCACACAACCGACAGAGAAACTTTCAAAGCAGCTAAATTTGTATTGAGTTTCAATTCATCATCCCGCCTTTTCAAAAACGGAGGCGGAGGCGGAATTCTATCAACTGTAAAGAAATATTCAGAACAAGAAAAATCAGATTAAGTAAAAACAGATGAAGGAAGAAACTGATCGGAAAAGAAGAAGAAGAAGAAACCACCGGCCTGAAAAATTCATGTTTTCTCCTTCCCAACGATACCAGATAGGAGAGACGGGTACACTAGGGATTCTTAATCAGTAGACGATGTGGAAAAGGAAGGCAGCAGTAGAGACTGGAGTAAATAATCCTCCTATTTTTTCCGAGAACAATTGAAAAAACGGCTGGGCCTTTTAATAGGTTTCTGCCACCTTACTCTAAAATAGGGCCTTTTTTTCAACGGCAAATACTTTATTCTAAGTCACTGTAGATTTATTTTTAAAAAATATAACAAATGAAAACTTTTATACACATATATAAATAAATAAACTAAAAGTTATATACGTTAATAAATAAATAAAAAATTATTAATAATACCTAAAAACAAAACTTAAAAAATCAGAAGATAAATATAAATTAAAATATTAAATCTTGAAAAATAAAACATTAAATTGATTGAATAAAAAAAGATATTTAAGTCTATACATATTAAGAATATCATCTAAAAATAAATATTTTTATTTTTAATAACATAGTTTATCTATATGAAAAATGAAATCAAAACCATAGATGAACCAGAAAAATTACTCTAAAAATTAAACACATATAAAAAAATCAATATTTTTAAAAGAGACCCCCAAACAAAATAGAAGAGAGGAGATTTTATCTTTTTTTGGTTTTCAGTTTATTTCTTTTCAATTGTATTTTTTTAAAGTTATATTTTCATGGCAATCATAGTTATCAAATCCAGTATGAAGGTTGACCCTGCCAAAAAGTCGGGTCCTGAGTTATACGAGTTAACCCGAAAAAATTAAAAATAAATATTTAAAGTTTTAATATTTTATATAAAAAATTAATAAACAATCCATATGAATATAAACTATATATATTGTAAATAATTAAGTTTGAAAGATTATTTCAAAATGTTTTTTTATCACACTTTGAAAAGATATTATTTTATTCTTCTAAGTTGAAGTATTTAAACCAAAAAGTTTTATTATACCATATTGAAAAAACATAACTTTTTTCTAATGAACATAGAGTATATATACTAAAGTGTTTCAAATCCTACATTGAAAAAATAAGATATTTTTATAGTATTTATATAGTAAACTTTGAAATGAGTTAGTAACCAACTAAAAAATATATTTATAAAAAGAGGTCTCTAAGTAGGAGAGAAGCATATTTGAAAAAAAATCTCTACCAGGTTTTTGCCAAGTCACCGGTGTTCTAAGTGGGTCGACAGGTTTATTTTGGGCCAATTAAAGCCCAAATTTTGAATGAAATAGAATCGGTCAAGATACTGGGTCCCATGTTGACCCACGAGGCTGGGTTTAATAATTATGATGGCAATCATGCCAGACCTATGGTATTGGGTCCAACTGTCAAACCCAATACCATAGGTGTGGCAAGCAAGCCGGACCCAATTCCTTGGGTCTATATAGAAGACTTTTAAGTTTAGCTTGGTTGTTAGACCCAATATCATAGGTCTGGAATTGAATTATGTAAGAATAATCAAAGTCAATATAATGTCAAATTTAAGTTAGAGTTCTTAAGTAAAATTTGGGAAAAATATAGAATTGTGTGGAATTGAATTAATTAAAGCATTAAAGATTGTCTTAAATATGAAATTATGTACAGATACAAAAATAATAAAAATTCTATGGTTAAACAAACAAAGGTGGTGGCTATTGGAGGGTTAATTAGAAGAAAAGAATTTATAATTTTTTTATTTTGTAAATTACTTGTCATCTTATGTTTATAATATGAACAAATGGTTGTTTTGGAGGGAGAGTAGAAAATGAGGATGTTTGAGGGATCATTTGAAACATTGACTAAACTAGACAAATTCATTTCTTTAACTTTCATAAAGGATTTGAACATGAAAATGATAGAATTTTGGAACGGTCCTTTTATAGGAGTTATAACTAAAGATGTTATTTTTCTGACAAGAGTGACCTTGTTTAATTTGAAGTTCTATAACTTCAGATATAGATAAAACTCTAAGGAGACATCAGGCTACTATCTCTACTAACATTTTTGACAAGTTGCTGAAACGAGTAACTTAGATATGTTTGGGGCATAATTATGTTTCTTTCCCTTTAGAAAATATATAGTTATATGTTTTTAAATTAAAAAAAGTCATGTTTGGAACTGAGATTTGTAAGGTTAGTTATGATAAAAAAAAAAAACAATGATATTAGAGATGTAATGGGAAACACAAATATGAAGGAAGGAATTGTTGAAAGGAAGTCGCTAGTTTTACTGTTATTAAAAGAAATATAACTTGTATAAGAAATAATGTGATATCCCTGTGAATATAAAAGGGACCATAGGAGCAACACAATAGCAGCAAGAGAGTATGAGCCGAGCTTCTATAACAGGTAGATTTTCTATTTCCATAATTATGAAGCTTGTTTAATTTTTGGATTTTATATATAAATTTTTGCAAAAGGAAAACATCTAATGAAATGAATGAGAAATAGAAACATACTTGACTAACTATTCTGGTTAGGAATAGTTAATGACACCAATGAGTTCTATTGATATTTTCTCTGAATTTGATTAGTCAGTTCTAAGAACGGGAGGCTAATGATGCCAGTAGGGTTTACTAACATCGACATAATCATTTCAGAATATGGGGGATATTGAACTTAATTAACTATCCTAGGTTAAGAATAGTTAATGATATCAAGAGGTTACATCAAATCGGTATTTTCATGCAACTTAATTAGTTATTCCTGATATGGAGGCTAATGATGTCAAGGAACCTTGACATCAAGATTTTCGAGGATATTTCAAAGTACTATTTGGAATTAATTAATTATTTCGAGTTAGGAATAGTTAATGACAAATATTAAAGGGCTATCTTGATATCAGTATTTGGAACAAATTTGATTAGTTGGTCCCGGTAAGGTAAGGAAGACTAATGATACTAATAGATTAATTAGTATTGACATTATCATCCCAAGGTTTTGTGAAGAAATAAATAAAAAGAATATGATGAATTATGTGGTGAAGGATGTTTAATGATACTAATAAATTGATATCGATATTTTTTAAAAGAATTATTCTTAAATATAAATATGCTACGGGTTGTTGTTGATCAATTACTCTAAAATTTAGTTAGTATCCATTGATCAAGTCAAAATTTAAGAGTGCAGATTGTAATAAAATATATGGACACATGAAAAAAAAAAAAAAGGTATTATCATAGGCAAACGACATTCAAGACTTGGCAGAGGCTGCTGAGACGACCCTTTCCAAAAAAAAAGAAGAAAAAAACAGAAAAGATAATGTTGGTCTTCTACAGTCAAAGTCTTCGTTGTTTACATATAGAGGCCAAGCAAAAAGTTACAGACCATGAATGCAAATTTTAAATGTAGGATGATATTTTTCTAATTCTTTGTTTTTTATTAATTAAAAACCATGACAAAAAGTATTTTTCTTTATTAAAAAAATATATTAATAAAAAAAGGAGGAGCCATACTAGATTCTATTTTTCAATAGAGTTCAAATTTAATTTTATTGTTTTATAACTAAATAAAAAAAATATAAATAGCCCCATAATATAATATGCATATTTATTTCAGTTTAAAAATTTAATATTGAGTTAGTATTAACATATTTATTATCAATTATTAATATATATATATATATATATAATTTTAAATTTTATTGAACCAACATATTAACTTTATAATAAAAAATATTAACAACATCCACATTTTTCTGCATTAAAAAAAAAAATTCACCCCGGGAATCAAACTTGTATGCATGTACTGGTTTTGAGGATTGGGAATCTAGGGTTTTTGCCGCTCTGGACCACCATATTTTTTGAAGGGTAGAATTGTCAAATCAAAAAAGAAAAGGGTGCCGATCGCTTGTCTGTCAGAAAAGATATATAAGGCGGCCGGGGCGTTCCCCAATCCCGAAAGCTAAACTGATTGATAAGTATGGCCATTAGAATGGAATCCAGGGACAGGCTACAGGGTGTAATGGAAAAAGAGATTCGGTCACCATGGCAACGGAAAGCACGCCGGCGTACTGGTTAGTTAGTTAACTAGCTAGGCACTTACTGTAATTTCTTCTTCTTCTTCTTCTTCTTCAGCTAGATTTGTTTATTTTAATATGGATTTATAGTTGGTTGTGTTGCATTCCGCTCCCATTCTTTCAACGAGAGTTTTGATGAAAGGATAGAGGAGAATCTCTACTTGGATCTTCCCACCAAACTATCGGCTCTTAAAGCTTCTCAATCTGTTGTCAGTCTCGTGTCTCGTGCTCGCAGAGGTATGCTAGGCGTGTATGCATGCATGCATGCATGCTTTCATGTATGTACGTGTGGCCAAATAATAATTTGACTGATCTTGTGTAGGAGTGAAAAATAAATTAGTATTTCCTTGCTCGGGAACCATCATAGGATCCAAGCTTGAAGAAAATGGTTCATTCACCCATACCATCCTCACTTCTGCCAATCTCCTCATTACCCGCGCTGCTTCAACTTCGGAGGATCATCCTCCTCTGTCTCCTGAACCTGGTATCAAGGTGCTGCTGATTTTCTTTTATCTCTGAGTTCTTTTATTTTTTTTTTATTAAAACAAATTTGTTCTATCTTTTTCTTTGGCTTAATCTGTTGCATGCAGGTTTATGTGTATTTATCAAGTGGTGATTCATTTGAGGGTGAAATTTTTGGTTTTAATTTTCATTACAACATTGCCATCATCAAATTCAAGTCCAGCTCACGCTTCCCGACTGCAATTCTGAAGCACATAGATGGTTCCATTCCTCTAACTACCAAAGATGAGCTACAGTACACGTCATTTGGACTCCGTCCACACGCCGAACCTTCAGATTTATTCAACCTTTGTCCTGGAGAGAAGGTAATAGCACTTGGCCGCCATTACTTATCCCACAGTCTCATGGTTGCACCAGGTGCTTTCAGGTATTGTCTCTCCTTTTTTAATGCCAAAAAGGGACTTTCTCTATGATCTTAAACTCATTGTAACATTGTAGTCTCCTGGTGCTTTAAAGTAACATTGTAGTCTCCTGGTGTTCATTTTATGAAAATGCTTTCTCAATTTTGTTAGTTACTTACACTTGGTTTTTGTCTTTCCTTCATTCTGCTGTGAAGACCTGGTGTGCGCAGACCAGGTTTGCTCAGACCACGTTTTTCCGGACCTGGTTTCCGTGATTATGATTGCGTAGAGCTTCTCACAGCAAGTTGCAGGATTACTGTAGTAATGACATTACTCTCTCTCTCTCTCTCACTTATATGCACCAGCTAGCCTTTGTGTGTATATTAGTGGTCTGTTTCATTTTAAAGTTTACATACAACTTTCTCCTGGTGGCTTTCATGATCTGTTAGTTTCTCTCGAGTATACACCAACACCAGATGACATGCTTCTTCCTTGTATGCATGCTGTTCTGACCAGTTTTCGCCCTACCATTTGAAAAGGCAGAGCTAAATTCTGCTGTCTTTACCCAAGTCATTATTTCAATATTAAAGGAGGGCAAATCTTAGGTGATAGAGTCAATGGCATAAATTGAGTGTGCAGGAAATCAACACCTAATTAGGTTGAGAATGAAAAAATGCTAGTAAATGTTTGCTGCACAATGGCCAAATTTTAGCTCTCAGATATTTAAGACTATTTTTTTTTTGTCATTTGAATTTCAAATATTCCATTAGCATGCAGTATATAAACATGCATTTGCGCAGTCGATGGCTGCTGGTTAAATTCTAACATTTCACCTTTCCCTCTTACCTTTATCTATATAAGAACGATATTCATTGTCTGACCTATGAATCGAAAAATTATCCAGAGTAGGTTTCAGTGCAGGCTCATAACAGTACAGCAATATGGTGCCCACCATGCTTAGATTTTAAGTGTCATAGATTCTCGATTGGTTTAAAATTGTGTTTTGCTTCTCCCTGGTCATTTTTCTGTTTGGAAATCCAGATCATAGTACTAATACACATGCTCACACCTTTTCACTTCCTTCTTCTTTTCGTTCTAGCTCTTTGGTGGTATATTCTTTAATACTCATTCAGAATGAAACCTTATGTTTTAATTTCATGACATCAATGTCATTTTACCACGCGACATCCCATGTATCTGTCTGATATGTAAAGAGAGGCAATATTAAAAGGCAACCAAGAGGATTTCTTAAAGGGATTTAGGAAACCATTAGAAAACAAATAAAACAACGATATCATAGCTGGATAATCACGAATTACTGCCAAGTAAAACAATTTTTTATTAGTATTTAGCCATCTAATGTGGTCACTAGATGCCACTAGCATGCGGATTTATTTATTTAACAAATGTGGCTTCATGCAAGAATATCTGAAATATGGTGTTTTTGTATATTTCCAAACAGGGTGGTAGTGGGGGACCCCTTATCAATTGTAATGGTGAAGTCATTGGAATCAATTTCTATGAGCATTCTTATACTTCTTTTCTGCCAATCAATATTGCTTCTAGGTGCTTGGAATGCTTGGAGAAAAATGGGTATGTACATTTATTTTTTTCTCTAAAATTTATATGTTTGGTTGGAACGTGGTTATACAACCTGCATTTCCAAAAATTATGAAAAGTAGCAAAAATATGCTTTTGTGGTTTCTGAATTTTTAAAAACACAGGTTGTACCGTGTTTTTAAAGTCTCTAATTAAAAGGAAGATAAAACTACATATCTACTTTCAAATTATCATTTTATCTCAACCACTTAATTTTGTTCTCTTATGTTTAATTTTTAAGAACTTTCCATTCTATTTAATTGTATATAAGGTCTTTTACCATTGATATATTCCAACTTCTCCCTCTTATTTGTCATTGTCGCTCTATTTTATTAGGAGAGTTCCTCAACCTTGGTTTGGGGTTAAAGTGACTAGTTGTAATGCAATAAGTGCAAATATATTTGAAAAAATAATTCAGAAGTTTGGCCACATCAGCGAAGGTGTTCTTGTTGAAGAGGTATGTTTTTTTATTTGCTTTTCGTTTCAGTTGTTCCACATGCTTTCTTGGTTTTCATGGTGTTGTCTTCTTTCTGGATTTTGATAAGGTGTGCTGCTGTTATAGATAAAGAAATTTTGTGAATCAAAAAACTTATTTGTCAATTCTCAGTAAGCTCTTATAGGTTATCTCCTCATCCCCTAAAGAAAAAGAGAAATCTTGTCAATGCAATCTTCTTTTCGAGTTTTTTTATTGTGATCAAAATCTTAAAGTTGTGTTATTAACAAAGGGCTTAAATACAGTGAATAATTAGATTTAACCCATAAAGGGCTTAAATTTGGGCATAATTAGATTAAGCTAGTTGGTTTCTCTGTAAATACAGTGAATCATCATGGTCAAAGGTTGTTTCCAGCTTATTAACAAGTTCATTAATTTTGTTATTTCTTGTCATTATGTAAATAATCCACAGGTTATACCAGATTCTCCTGCTTGTTCTTCTGGCATGCGTCCTAATGACATTATCATTCGATGTGGTAAACAGGCTGTTGTATCTTCCTCTGAGGTACGCCACCTTATTGTTTTCATTGCTAGGGGAGTTCCACTTGCATCCTTTGAAAATTGGGTCTCATTAAAAAAAGATTGAAGAATGCTTCAATGCATGTAGATTCACCTTTTGAAATTGAAAGATTTTTTTTTTTTATATGGATGATTTGCTTTGTTAGTCTGGTCCTTCTTATTTATTCAACTTACCCTTATCTGTTCTTGTTGTGTACGGTGAACACTCGATCATAAGCAATAATTTCAGTACTAAATGATTAATTTATTATATTGTTGCTTTGTTTTTGTTGTTGCTATAACCTTTGTGGTTTTTAATGTCAGTTCTATGGAATTTTGCTCGATAATACTGGAGAATCCATGGAAGTAATTGTGATGAGGCCATGTCTTGGAAGAGATTTGAGTCTAACCATAAAGGTTATCAATGAAACAAACCCGAAGAAATATTACAGGTAAAATCTACAAACAGACAATCAAACAAACTAACTCTAGCTTACATATGGCTTTAAAATAATAATCGTGTCTCATGTCAACGCTTAGGCAGAATCCCTTTTCCTCTTTGAATTTCAGAAAATTTAATAATGAGATCTTGTGTGAACCTTTCTTGCCTTGTGAGGCTGTTTTTAATTATCCGCTTCTATTACTTGTGCGCCTGTATTATAATCTGTCAATGTGGTGGTCATTTCAGATGGCCGGTTCCAGAAGAGGCATTTTGAGGAGGCGTGGTGCCCCTGGCTATGGTCGAATATGATGTGTACCTACTCAAGAACTTATTTTATTTATGTTCTAATTGTGCAATGTACACAGTTAAAAATAAATAAAAAAGATATGATTAGCTATCTGGGAGGGATGGTTAATGATATTAATAAATTGATATTGACACTTTTTTGAAGGAATTATCTTTTGGTATAAATATGTGATATTGTTTGGAAATTGAGAATGAAATAGTGTCATATAAACAGTAATATATGAGGTGATCGCGCTATGCCATGGGTTTTTGATCATTTGTTCTAAAATTTGGTTAGTTTCTATTGATCAAGTAAAAATTTAAGAGTGCAAACTATAACCAAATATACGAGCACATTAAAAAAATAAAATAGTATAGCCATTATTATTGGCAAACGACATTCAAGACTTGATAGAAGCTGCTGCTAAAATGACCATTGTCAAAAAAAAAAAGGAACACAAAAGATAATGTTGGTCTTTTACAGTTAAAAAATATGTTTGGTATTGTGGTAATTTTTGTGGTTATGATTTGAAAAAAATTGTTTTATAAAAAACAATTTTAGTTAAGGTTAGTTTGATAAAATATATGTTTTGTTAAAACTGTAGTTAAAATTAAGGTTGAACAAAAAGTTGTTTAATGTGTTTGGTTAAAAATATTTTTTAATTTAAGGTTATAAAAAAATTAAAAAAGATATATATTAATATTCATTATTTTTAATATAAATATTATAGATTTAACTACTACTATTACATCATGAAATAAATAATATTTTATATAAAATATTTTTTTATTATTTCATTAAACTATATGTAATTCCATCATGTACGAAATTCATCCGACAAGGACTACAGTTTTCATGATTTCCTAAGCGCACGATAATATCAGGTAAAATATCATCGGAAGAAAATTAGGATTGAGATGATATTTTACAAATGCTACATCATCATAGGATCTCTTTATAATGTAATTATATAGTGTCATTAATTAATGTTAAACACTAGTTTTTTTTAATAAAACACAATATCTGAGAAATTGTTTTTGGATCTTTTTATTTTACTAGGTCAGATCGGTCCAATGCATTTAGGTTTGGGTTAAACTCAGTTTGCCTATGAACAGTAGAGACACTTTTCATGTTCACTTTGCAGAACAATGGAGAGTGTCTTCAAACAAAGGAGAATGAGAAGAGGAAGGGGAGGGGGAAGAGCAGCACCACAATGATGGCTAAGGGACGGTGGAAATGACGGAGACCAGTCACGCTCCGTTGTTCACATGCAATATGAATAATGGAGAGTGAATTAACTCACTTATCACTATTTACTTTGCAGAACAGTGGAGAGTATCTCTAAACAAAAAAGAAAGAGAAAGAGAAGAGCAGCGTGATGTTAATGGACTGAGGAATTGTGAAAACAATGTAGGTCTGTGGTGAAAGAGAGCTGCTCTCCATTGATGGATGGCGTCCTTCTTTCCTCTATTTTTTCTCCTTTTCTTCTCTCGTTCTAAGCACACCTTGCCTTGTGATACTTGTAGAGAGACAATTAATCCGACATATTGAGTATCGAGTCACGTGATAGTTCTTTGGATTGCTAAGTCAATTGATCTGCATATAGCTACAACATACTCTTTATTTGCAGGAACTGGTCAACTGAAACCACCAAATTGGACGAGATGATAATGAAGCACTGATGAAATACAAAAGGCTCAAAAAACCCAAAACAACAAGGAATAAACATATGAGAGAAACTTGTGGAAAGCTCATCCAAAAATGCAATCATTTAGTGACTTAATGTTGACCTAATTATATTTTTTAAAATCAACAAGCATAAAATCAATTGTTTCGAA